ATTGAATAGACATACGAAGAGAATGAAGTGTGCCTGTTTTGTGAATATTCTAAGGTTAAAAGAAATAGTTGACAATTTTCTCAAAAAAACCGATATTATTTGTGCAAAATCGTATTATATTTTTCTTACAATTTCTGTCTTGCCCACAAAACAAACATTATATTTTACTATACATATCCCTTATACGAATGATTACAGACAACGGCAATAATAAGAACAAGTTTTTGCAATAATTAGTTGATTATTAGTTTGCAATAATGAATTTAACTCACTTCCTGATACCGTAGAAGGCTGAAATTTAGCCCAGACACTCATTTTGGATAACAATACAATATCCTGGAATTATATTGGAGGACGGGGAATGGGAATTTTTTTACTCAGTCCTGACAAACTAAATCTCGGGCAACGAGGGTCCCGAACAACTTGTAAATAAATAAAAATAAAACTTTTTTAAAAACATGCTTTTCTAAAAAGTAGTATAAAAGTGAACTAAAAAGTAAAAATTAATTTTACTACAAGAACAATTTACCAATCAATTGTAACACATTTTATTTAAAATGTCGATTACTTTGAAAACAACCGCATATTAACTACAATTTTAAATAATGTTAAACATCTTTAATTTTTGACTAAAAAGAAAAACGCGAACCCTATTCAACAAAGTTCCTTCATGAATTTATCAGATAATGTTTTATATTTCAAGTTTTTTTGTAATTTAAATTTGGTTTAATATTATTGTGTGACACATACATTTCATAATACTTAACTCAATGAATTTGGACATTGTTGAATAGGGCCCACGCTTTTGTTTTTAGTCAAAAATTAAAGACGTTTAACATTATTAAAAATTGTAGTTAATATGAGGTTGTTTTCAAAGTAATTGACATTTTAAATAAAATGTGCTACTATTGATTGGTAAATTGTTCTTGTAGTAAAATTATGTTTAGCTTCGGTGTGGAGCTGAGAAGGTATTGTTTTTACAATGATGTGCTTTTATTTTTTATGTGTGTGTCCGGCCCTACGATATCTCGTAAACCGCTGAACCGATTTCTTCGTGTAGCAACTGAAGGGCTACACAGGGGAAAAAGCATCAATGTCAATTTTTTTTTTTGAAAATGAGATGTTAGTGCCATCTTTTAGCTTGTTCCCAAAGGAATCGAACTACGAATCGGTTTTGCATAGAAAGACCATTGGCTGCCCAAAAATAAAGGCGGAAGAAAACGTCTCATCAAGGTCCACGCGGTGGCAACTGTGATGGGAAATACTAATCAGGGTCAATGACCTATCAGAGATTTTATTTTATTTTTCACTTTTTGTAAAATTAAAATGTATTTTTTTTTTCTTTCACTCAAATATATGTAGTTTACCGACAACATATGTTTTTCTCGCGCTCAAACCCTTGCTGCGATGTCATTTTGTAAGTTGTTAAACTTTAAAAACGGAATTACCAACAATTTAATAAAACTGACATTGATGTTTTTCCCCGCAGCCCTTCAACTTTATAGATCAGAAATCGTACCTGAAAGGTATCTTAATAGGCCAAAAATTGAAAAAAGTCACCCTTTCCCCATCAAAATTGAGAAAAACCCCCAAAAAATGTATACATTTTTCTACTTAAAAATACGATGCTCTATAACTTTTTTAAAAATAGTCGAAAAAGTTCCAAATTTATATGAATTATTCTTCAAACATAGTACTATCGATAACATTAACTAACTAAACAAATATCATAAACCCTTTCCCCTAGAAGGAATATAATTTTTTTCTTTATTTCAATTTTTCAAGCAAAGTTTTAGAGATTTAGATCTGAAAATTAGACCAAAGGTAGATCTAAAATGGAACTATAACAAATTTACACTGTAGCCGTAGTGAGTTTCTAGTTTGCTATGTGTGAGTGAATCAACAGGTAATGAAAATATTTTAATTATATTGTTAATTACGATATATGGGTAACTATGAGAGTTCATTTTTATAGACAGACGATCAACCCTTATCGTATCCTCCCTACACAAGACTAAATATTAAATTTTTAGTACATTATTGCTGATCCCACGATATCTTCTAAACCGCTATAACTGTGGATTAATTAGCCTAAAAAGAATCCCCTGGATAGTATGTTCAAACCAGTTATAGCGGTTTAGAACATATCGTGGGATCAGCAATAATTTACTTAAAATTTATATATATATACAGGGTGAGGCATTAATAATAAGACCTTGAATGCATGTACAAATTATTTTAAATGTTAGAAAGTGAAGTTTTTGTATAATTTCGTACATCGGCACACGCACGTGTTTCATTTTGAAACAACATATTTTTGTGACCCTGAGTCCAAAAGTAAACAAAAATTTAAAAATATGATTTTTACTAAAGTATTGTTTATCGAATTCTTGCCGAGGTATTATAACTCGAAAACACAATTTTTTTACTTTAGAAAAACACTTGTGGATTTTATGTACGTTGCGATTTCAACTTTTTATATAAATGAAATATATACTGTAATAGTTTTTCTGCAATTTTTCTACACATTCAAAATATTGTAAACGTTATTTAGAAACTCATATTAAAAGACCTATGTGAATCATTTTTGGTTTTTATCGTACAATGTCATTTCAAGGTCATTGTAATTTTTCCCCCTTCGGTCAGAGGATTTAAGGAGAGTTGATTTGGAAATCTCTTGTATAGCACCCAATAATTAAGATAACAATAATAAATTAAAAATAAAAATAATAATTAAGATTCACATGTTAAGCTACTTTTTTTAAGTAAAATATAATGTCATTGAACGTTTTAGATTTCAACATCAATCAGAAGAGCTGTAACCTTTTCGAATTTCTATTAAAAAAAAATGCGATTTCTATAAAAATTGTAATGCATTTTAACGACTATTTTCAATTATTTAAATAGATAAATTGGGTTATTACCTACTGTTATTTTTTTTAATATAAATAATCATGTTTGATAATTAACCGGTTTGGGTTAAGCGTTTAAAATTAAAACTTTAATTTTGTGAATATAATTTTATTGGAACCTATATATAGGTAGTAAATAAATAAAATAAAAGGTATAAATTCTATTATTTTAAATACAAATTAAATATCAATTACATAGAGTTTTTTTGAAAAGGATCTTAAAAAAATGTTTTATCAATTTATTTTAAAAATGCGCCTATTGCTTTCGTGTTCTACTCAGTTTCAAAATATTTAAAATAGCGGCGACAATGAAAGTTGATTGAGAATTTTCAAAAATATAGGGGGTTTGTTTTAGGCTAATAAGTCTACTGGTCATCAGAATCCCACGGGTGGTATATACAGGGTGTTCAAAAAGTCTGTAACCCCTTGATTTTCAGAGCCGCTTTTGATTTTCTTAAAATGTTGACTTTTGATTGTTATTAGGTGAAACTTAACGCACATTTTAAGCCCGAATCTGAAGGTAAACCATATTTTTTATATTATACTGTTCCAAACTTTACCTAGTATACTCTATAGGATTGTTGTACATGTAATAAATAATAATGACCGGCGACTGCCGTTACACAACACACATAAAAAACCCATGATAATGAATTTGTGCAGGTAATATTATCATTATGGAACTTAATCGGCCATTAAGGCTCAACGCTGCCATCGCGAGACGGTTTCTTGACGAATTTTTTACATAAATATTACTTCAGATCAAAATGTTTAAACAATATTACACCCGACTGTGAATTTATAATCTAATTTTGTTCAGAGTACAGCTACACTATTTATCGTTAAACGGAGAACAGGAAAATGTGTACTTAAAATATTAATAGAGAACAACAAGGGTCCAAATATTTTTTTCCCCCAAATAATTATAATATTGAAATAAATTATATTTTTTTTATGATTTTATGTTAAATCATAACGTTAGTTTCCAAATGATCTAAAATATTTAAATACATAATTTAATTTGTTAATTATTTGTTTTTAAAAACAAAAATCTGCTCCAAAAACAAAGGATTGACCTGACAAGTTATTATTATACATAACTTGGTAAATATTTTTTTTTAATATAAATAAAGAATAAAACCAATAAAGCATACCTATGCTAAGTAAATATATTTTTACTAGTAAAATAATAATTATTATAATAATATAATATTCAAAGTTTAAAAAACTTAACTAATGCCATTAATTTTTACAATTACCTAGTAGGTACTATAATGAATTATACAATTTATGGATTTTTCTGATCTTAAAAAAAATGTATTGACAAGTTTTTAGTACAATTTAGAATGCAACAATTTAAATTATGACATCACAAATGTACATTTGGTAAACTGAAGGGTTGGGGATCCTTCAATTAACAAAACGCAGTTTTATAATAATTTATAAATAGTAATTGGATATTATACTAAAATCTATATTTTTTAAACACATACACAAAAATAAGTGAGGCAACTTTAATATTATCTAATAAAATATACAATTTAATAATGAAGAGTTGATTATGATAAATTTGACATTAAGTTGTAAAAAATAAAACCACTTATTAGGTAGCTAGTTGTTATAAAATAGTTATTCAAACAAACTATTTTAGTACTTGGCAATCTATTGAATTAATATTTTGTTTGTAAATTGAAGAAATGGGAAGTCTTATATGTACATTATAAATATCCTTTAGATATTCTTAATAAAATATAATTACAAATCAACTTTGCACATATGAAGGCTTAATTTCTATAAAAATATTACTAATTAATCAATACAATTGATTATTGTAACAATTGAATATTATTAGAGTAATAAGTAGAAATTAAATTAATATTTATATTTATGTTTTTAAAAACATTTCTTTTATTATTTGTAGATTTACAAAACCACAAGCGCGTTTGATCATAGAATAGGTTGCCGAAAATAGTTTTGATAAATATATAATATTTAAATAACGCTTTTTTTTTTTATTTAATGTGTTTAAAAATGTTTTTAAGAATATAATTAAAAAACACTTTACTTCAGGATGGTTTTATCTGCTTCGATAAACTAGATTTGATTAATTGATATTGTTAACATTCTTTGTAGTGCAAAAAATTCTTCCAAAATATAGAAACTCCAGCGGACATCATTAAGCTCAACCAAGAAGAAACCTATAGAGCTGTTGAAAAAAGAAAACAAATCCAATTTATATGGATCCCTGGACAAATTGGCATACCAGGAAATGAAAAGGCAAACCAGGGTGTACTCAAAGTAACCACATCAACGCCTTCTCCGTTTCTAAAGTCTCTGACATAAAAAACGCAATCAAATCACACACACTCAACCAATGACACTCCCATTGGTAAAAACTCAACACGAAACTCAACAAAATTTAAAATAATATAAGTCCATGGCGATACCCCAGAGATACCACAAACCTAATTTCCTTCTTAAAAAAATCTGAATTTTATATTTTAAATTAAACAATCCTAACAAATAAATAAACAACAAAGGTTTAGATATATTCTGAACAATAAAATAAAAATACAGAATGGAAATAATATAAATAACATTGTCTTCTCAAAGTAAATTATATATTCTACATCCAAAAGATCATTTTTATCAGTTTCAATCACGGGCTCGAAATAATTGCCGTCAAGTCTGACTGTCTCTTTCGTGACTACATTTTTTTCATCTATTTTGTTCTTGGGACAGCCGTTATAATCATCAGTTTCGTCTTTAATTTTCTCTTCAGTTATTCTAAAAAACAAAACAAATTATATGTAGTTTAATTGTACAAGTTACAATTATAATAATTCCACCGGGGCTTTAGTTGAACCAAACTTAGTTTAAGTTTGTTACTGTTGTTGTTTAATTAGTACATTTAATAGAAGTCTATAAATTGGTGTTCCATAAGTTCAGCTCAGAAATCAAACACTGTCGCTTGTAAAAATGATGCAAGTCAAATGGTCACAAAACATTTAAATATTTATTGTTAACATAATTTGAATTAGAAATCTTAGGGGTGCGAAGAATGCTTTATTGTAAAGTATTTCCCAAGCATCAATCCTAATTCCTAACTCTTAAAACGTTATCATACAATGTATCCATAAATTGTTATCTATATGCCAAAAATTAAAAACATTTGGAAACAAGCGAATTTCAGTGGTCGTCTCTTCAGGGCCCTACCAATATTTGTATCCTTGAAATAAGCTATGAATTAAAAAAAATAATTTTAATTTAAAAAACCGCTTAAAATTTTTACAAAATAACATTTTACACTTTTTTCTAGAAAACGAGCTTACATCAAATTGTAATCTGGTACCTAGCTCTAATATTAATAATATAATTATTTCTGGTTTAAAAATGTTTTTATATTAAGAATTGGGTTTTCTCTATTTTTAGTGGTTGATTGATTCAAAAAATGTAAATCAAGTAAAAAACCAAGTCTAAAAGACAAGGTACATTTTTAAAAATTAGATTGTCTACTTTAAATGTTTATTTTAAGTAATTTATTAAACTACAAGTGTTAGCCTTCTATTGTATGGGTAATCTGTTGCCCTTTCGTTTACCGAGATGAATTAATTTAAGTGTAATATAAAATAGTAATATTTAAAAAACAAAATTGTTATTATATAATATACATAATGCTAGTTTTTCCATGTTATGTATATTGTAAAATATAATATATTCCTCAAAGCACATTAAATAGAAAAGTAAACACTAAACACTTTAATTGTAGGTATTTTTTATTTTACTTTTATTTAAACCAGTGAAGTTGTTTGACTGGTCTGCACTGACATTAAATTTTATGTAATATAATTATAATATAATAAATAACAGTTTGGTATGGAAAATTATTTCTTTAGATATTTAAGTAAAATGACATACGCCTAGTAATTGGCCATGGAATGCTCACATATACGTTAACGATTTTATTACTATTTTCTAATTAAATGTATTTCAAATATTTAAAATTTATTAATAATATTACTTATATGCGTCGTCTTCGATTTTTTTTTTAGCATATTTGTATGTAGTCGGACAACTCTTGTATAATTTCTCAATAGCATTCCGTTTTATTTTTTTCACTAAGTCTCCAGTAAAGTGATCTTTCGTATCTTCGTTTTCTTTCTCTATTTTTATCACGGTATCGTTGTTATAATCATCCATTTTAATTCAAACTCTTAGCTAGTTTTTTACTTTTTAAACTCTAAAACACAAAGCATAATTGCAAAAATTAGGATAAAAGCTTATAGTTAATATCAAAATGAATATGCTGCAGTTTAAGCATATTTAAGTGAATCATAAGGATTTCGCCGCAATAGGTTTTAGGTACACAAAACACTTGTATGACTTTCCTGTGGCATGTCCCAGATGGGATTTTACCAAAAAAGATTTTACGTACTTTACTAGACAAGATTTCACCTTAAATGATATTAAACAAATAACACATTAAAAATTTACAAAGATATTACAAATATGTAAGTATACTACGATATAACTATTATGCTTTTCTCGTACGTACGTTAGTAGGGGTATTTTTAAAATCTTGCAAAATTTATTTAACCCACTTCTCGATGTCGTATAGGGCTGAAACCTGGCACAGACACTCATCTTAGACGACAATACAATATCCTGTAATCATATTGGAACTCGGACAACCAGGTCGCCCTACACAGGTTCAAATGTGGGGACATTTCACTAAAATTTCATTTTTTTCCAAATCTTCCAAAATTAATTTAGTTATCTACTCAGCAATGATTAAATACCTTTAATTGAACTAAAAAGTAAAAAAACAAAATAAATAAATTTAAAAAAAACTCTTTTGAAAACGTACTCCCATTCTCCATCCTCCAATATTATTCCAGGATATTTTATTGTCGTCCAAAATTAGTGTCTGGGTTAAATTTTAGCCTTCTACGATATCAGGAAGTGGGTTTAATTCATTTTAGAGGATTTGAAAAACAAAATAGTAAAAAGTGAACTAAAAAGTAAAAAATAATTTTATTACAAGAACAATTTACCAATCAATTGTAGCATATTTTATTTAAAATGCCAATTACTTTAAAAACAACCGAAAAATAACTATAATTTTAAATAATGGTAAACATCTTTAATTTTTTACTAAAAAGAAAAGCGTGGGCCCTATTCAACAAAGTCCAAATTCATTGAGTTAAGTATTATAAAATGTATGTGTCACACACAAACATTAAACCAAATTTAAATTACAAAAAAACTTCCAATATAATTTATTAGGGACATTGTTCTTGTAATAAAATTATTTTTTACTTTTTAGTTCACTTTTTACTATTTTTTTTTTTTTAGAAAAGCATGTTGTTAAAAAAAATTTTTTTTAATTTATTTATTTTGTTTTTTTTACTTTTTAGTCCTATTTAAAGTATTTAATAATTGCTGATTAGATTACTAAATTAATTTTGGAAAAAATACAACTGCACAAATCATTTTAAATACTTGTTGACTGTTGATTCACTCACACAATATGTGAGAAATTTACTACGGTCAACCGTGAAAGTGTAATTTTTCCTTTTTTTTTTTTTTACATTTCCCTCAATAAAAAAGAAATCTGACTACAGTTATTTTTAAGAAAATTGTATACGTTTTTGTTCCATTTAAGTCTACCTTCGGTCTTATTTTCAGACCTTGAGCTCTAAAGAATTACCCGAAAAACCGAAGTAAAGAAAATGTTTCCATCCTTTTTAGGGAAAATGGTTTAAGATATTTTTTTTAGTTTGTTAACGTTCATCGGTAGTACATTATCTAAAGAATATGCCACACAAATTTGTAATTAATTTTTTTTAATTTAAAAAAGTTATAAAGTGCCATAATATTAAGTCGAAAAACAGTTCAATTTTTTTGGTGTTTTTTCTCGATTTTCAGAGGATGGGATGGACTTCTTAAATTTGTAGGCCAATAATGTCCCTTTCAGGTATATCATTTCTGGTCTATAGAGTTGCTACACTAAAAAATCGATGTCAATCAATGGCTTAGATGACACATTGGATAAGCACAAAAAAACATCATTGTAAAAACGCTACGTTTTCAGCTATTCATCGAAGCTAAGGTAATTCATTAATAAATTATATGATCTACAATTTGTTAATACTTTTTAATACTACACAAACGGTTGTATTATGTTTAAAATTTACCTGGAAACTGTCGACTGGTGATGGTTGAAACTGGCGATTCAAATAATATAGGGTGTACGGATCGAGTTTGATAGTAAAATGCTAGACAATGCAATAACAGCAAACAAGAAAACGAGTACCTACCCTGAAGGGGTGCCAACGTCAACTGCACTTACCTAGGCACACAGTATTATAACATGATGATGGATTTTGCACAGTTTAATCGTTCACCGCGACCACATGGACGTCTGGCTGAGTAGTATAAATTTAAAAAATCAATAAAGCGCAATAACCAAAATAACGACCACCCGGTAGGTCTAGGGGTGCTTTTGCAACTGCACTATACTTACTTACCTGCACAATATAATACAAATATTATGATGGATTCTCATGTCATGCGCTGTGTGTTGTCTGGACTGCAGCAGCTGGAGTATGTGCAAATCGATAATTGCAGGCATTACACCTTTTGTAGTACTCAAAATTCAACCCTTCACCATTGAAATAGAAAAATCTAAAAACAATTTTTCGATTTTATGGTTTCAACTTTAACATGTCATCACTTCACAAAAAAATCAATGGCTATTTACCGATATCTTTGTATAGCAATTATATAAATCATAAAATCGTACCTGAATGGTACTTTATTGGGCCAAAAAATTCATCCCTTTAAAATCGATAGAAATACACAAAAAATGTACATATTTTTAATCTTATGGCGTTTTAAAACTTTTTCAAAAATAGTCAAATTGGTTCCAAATTTGTATGGAATATTCCGTTGTACCACTGATAAAGTTGAACAAATTTGTAGTGAGCATTCTCTTAATGTAAAATGTCGAAACATAAAATATTGTAGTGTGTTATGCATTCCTAAAAAGCATAATGATTAAGCATTAAATTATACTGTATTTAACTTATTCTTTGGTAAACACACTATTTAGCTATGCTTTAATAGCTTTTTTTTTTTAGTTTTAACATTCCTAATGAAAGTACAAAATAAGATGTGACAATGATATCTTCTAAATTATAAATTTATATGTAACCAATAATTATTCTCATAACTCATAAATTCCGAAAACAGTTCCTGTTGAGTTAAAGCGATATAAATCAACAAACGCTTATTGTATCGGACTCATATCGGCCGAGGTCATTGTACATTTTTCTTAAGCCATTACTTTTGTTTTAAATAAATTATCTAAGAAAATATGTATCTTATTAACACATTTAATTGGTCACACACTTATTTTGTGTCTAAAGATACTCATCGTGCGTTGTTCTGTTTGGAATCATATATTTTCCATGGCATTTTCCCATGAAGTATTATAATAAATAAACCATTTTTGTATTTGCGCTTTGTAATAACTGCAAACACATTTTTATGCGACAATACTGCTTTAGTTATAGTAATACGGGTTCAAAAATCTAAAAAAGATAATAGTTTGATAGGATACATAAAATAAAAGTTTTTTACGACACCGATATTGTTACAAATTTTAATTTATGTTAAAGTACATCAAAGCTTTATATAAAATTTATAAAATCTGTTTTTTCAGGATGACAAAATTTCTTGTGTTTCAATAAATACAGCAACGGTGACAATTAGATAAACTTATAAATACTTAAGCTACTTGAGTTTAGAATATAGAATATTAATTATTATTTCTATAAAATTTTAATTTTAATTTAGACACAACTTATAACAAAAATGTAAACTGCAAGTCGTTCCAAAACGACAGTGTGTGTACAAACTATCATCTGTCTCAATTTCAAGGTCAATTTGTGTTACTTTAATAACTTATATTTTATTACTGTACGTCTCGAACAAAAAAAAAATTAGGGGGAAAAATAATAAAGTATTACATTAGAGTTTACTATCGTAATGACGCAATCTCTTTTTAATGAAAAAACACTACACTTAGAAGTTCTATTTATATTTTGCATAATAACATTACGTATATCCTATACAACATATATTGTTATATAATTGTTTAAATATCATATTTTACTTTTAAACAATAATAATATAACGTCGTTCAAACTAATTTTATTACAAGAATAATTTACCAATCATTTGTAGCATATTTTATTTAAAATGCCAATTACTTTAAAAACAACCGAAAAATAACTATAATTTTAAATAATGGTAAACATTTTTAATTTTTTACTAAAAAGAAAAGCGTTGGCCCTATTCAACAAAGTCCAAATTCATTGAGTTAAGTATTATAAAATGTATGTGTCACACACAAACATTACACCAAATTTAAATTACAAAAAAAATTCCAATATAATTTATTAGGGACATTGTTCTTGTAATAAAATTATTTTTTACTTTTTAGTTCACTTTTTACTATTTCTTTTTTTTTAGAAAAGCATGTTGTTAAAAAAAATTTTTTTTAATTTATTTATTTTGTTTTTTTTACTTTTTAGTCCTATTTAAAGTATTTAATAATTGCTGATTAGATTACTAAATTAATTTTGGAAGATTTGGAAAAAATGAAGTTTTAGTGAAATGACCCCTACATTTGACCCTGTGTAGGGTGACCTGGATGTCCGAGTCCCAATATGATTACAGGATAGTGTATTGTCTAATTTTATTCAATCAAAAATTTAAATTGCAAAAGGACTGTTAGGTTAGGTATAACATTATACTGATGGGACGACGTGGGGCTTACAACTACTTGTTTGGTCATATGCCGATCAGGTCCATGAAGTTGCAGTTGACAAGAGTCTTATGCCATCATGTGCCAACATACCTAACCTAACCTAACCAAACCTGCCACCATGTGCCAACATACGAGGAATTCTCGCCCGCTGACACCGATGTCAAGTGATCCTGACGATTTGAATTATTTGTCGCCGGATCATTTTCTGATTGGCCAGCCGTTGCTAGGGATACCATATCCAGAAGCTCCAGAAGTGCCTCGAAACCAACTACAACGACGGAAATGGCTTTGTGGTTGTCATCAGTCGTTCCGGAAGCAATGGTCAGCTGACTATCTTAAGACGCTCCAAATCAGAAACAAATGGACCAGAGACCATCCTAGCCTCAAAATAGGGGATACGGTCATTATTAAACAAGAAAACGTAAGCTCACTACTTTGGAAGATGGGTAAGGTTGTGGACCTTTTTTTAAATTAGTGGTACTACCGCACAATTAACACCCTATCCTTTTTAACTAAACGTCCCTGCCTATAACAGTTAAATCTTCAAGTAAAGCGATGTGAGGCTGGACTCGTCCTGCCTCTCATTGGGGAGAATGTATGACACATACATTTCATAATACTTAACTCAATAAATTTGGTCTTTGTTGAATAGGGTCTACGCTTTTTCTTTTTAGTCAAAAACCAAAGATATTTCAGCTGAACTTTTCTTTATTTTTTGTTTTTTTAGGGTCTTATAAAAATCAGAATGTAAAAGTACTGTACTTTTACATGCCAAGGTGAGCTTAATCAATTTTTATCTCCCATATTTTAAGAGAAAATTGAAAATTAAGTGTTTATAAGATATAACACATCGACTTTTATTAAATTTAAATCGTTATACCATATGGGTATAAAATCCGGTCTACCACTGTATATTATCTTGTATTAAAGCTAAGACTAATATCTATCTTATCGCAATTAAAGTGTAGCGTTTTTCTTTTCCTCGACGCAACATGCTCTTAAAGCTATCAACATCAAATTGTTTTTCATTCCAATTCCTGTACTTGACTTTTTTTTTTAAATTCAAGAAAGTAATATTGTACTAAAATAAATTTTGAGTATAAATAATACGGCGTTTTGCATAGGCAATTCTGTTACGATCGTGTATTCGGTTATTTTGCTAAAATGCATTATTATTTTGTTCTTAATTATTATAGCTAATCGATGCCAATTTTATCGACGACTCAATATTAATTATGTTAATTAATCGATGAATCCTTAATCTTTAATTTTAGTCATGAGGTCACCTATCATACGCTGAAACTTACCCGATTACTGGGTCATCATTGACATTTTATTGTACTTTGAAGACTAACGATGTAACGTGCTCTGCTTAGAGAAAAGTAATAAACAGAGGCGTATACGGGGAGGGGGGATATAGTGATCACCCCTACCCTGGATGGTTTACTTGTGTGTGATAGAAATGTAGTGATCAATAATTTATACGTTTATGTGACACTGACGTCTTTTACAATTATTTTTTTAATATTATTCGCTCCCCCCCTAAGGGATAAAGTAAATACGTCCTTAGTGGTATACTATTAAAAATTTAGTTGTTGTCTTTTTATGTTTAGGACGTTCATTACAATATAAGGTACACTCACCATATAAAACTCCATACTCGTGTGTTATGATTGATATCTTTAGAACATAAAAACACAAAAACATCCTAATACATACAGTAAACAATTAGGTTTATCAGCCCTATAATAGTTACTTTTTCATTTCAATAGTTTGTTGTTATTTTATTGATTACAACCAAACCAACACAAAGGACAACTCTTATGTACAGTAAACGCTCAGATTGGTTAAGTTAGGATGACACAGGAGACCATCTAGACCAGTCGGTCACCATAGTTAACGGTGAATTCACACTTGTATAAATATAAACTTAAAAATGTAATAGGCAACCAATGTTTATTTAGGTCAAAAACTATAATTTTAAACTAAGACAATTTTTGTATTAAATGTTATTATTTTTGTTTTACAAACAATAAATGTATTTTTTTCAAATCAAAATTAGTTTAAAGATAATATTTAAAGAAAAATACAACATAAATTCATAAATTAAAAACAATTCAAAATATATAGTTTATTCCTGAAGTAAATATTACAAATTCAGCCCAGATCGCTCAGATTGGTTAAGTTAGGATGACATAGGAGATGACACATATACAAATATAAACTTAAAAATGCAATCGGCAACCAATGTTTATTTAGATAAAAAACTATAACTTTAATATAAGACAATTTTTGTATAAAGTGTTATTATTTTTGTTTTACAAAAAAAAAATGTATTTTTTTCAAATCAAAATTAGTTTAAAGATAATATTTAAAGAAAAACACAACATAAATTAGAACAACTCAAAATATATAGTTTATTTCTGAAGTAAATATTAGAAATTCAGTCATAATTATATATTTACCATATTTCTTTTCTACTGCAACTTAACACATCTGATACGAACATATGGGCTAAGCATTTTATTAATTGTTCAACAATTTCCGGTTTTCCATTAAAAACCTTATTTATTGTAACGCTAATGTTACTGTTTTTGATGGATATATCTTTTATTGCGTAAAATATTATGGTATAACCAAGGTCCACGTTTCCTTTTCTTA